AGTTACTAAACACGGTATTGACTATAGGAAAATCATATGAACTGTCATTTTGAGGCAAACATGTCAAACCTAAATTTGCAATGAAACGTCCTGCCTTATTTAAAAAGTTAAGTGGATAAAAAGGAAAGAAGCAGAGGACAAACTACACAAGTGACAGATTTCTCATTGTAAGAATGTAGTCTGGCATTTATGACTGCAGTAATCCCAGCCTATGGAGGAGCTGTGCTGTATTAGAGCTGACACAGCCCGGTGATTTATTTGACGAACACTGGCTTCGTGGGAAGTATCACATTATTGTTGTGACAGCTGTAGCTTATGCACAAGAACTGCTGCAAGTGCAGTCTGCATGTGTGTATGTGATCCCTGTCCAACAGAACAGTGAGCATGTTTCTCTGCAAGTGTGTGTAAGAAAAAAAAAAAAGAGTGTTTGTGCATCCATGTGCTCAACTTGCATGTTTCTCTGCTTGTGTATGTGTGTGTGTGTGTGTGTGTGGCTGCAGCAAATGTGGGAGTTTTCCATTTTGTGTGCTGAGGCTGGAATTGACCTGTCAGTCTCAGTGAAGTGGGGAGAGGAGGGAGACGACAGGTGTCAGGACTGTGAACGAGATGGATGAAAGAGCAAAAGGAGGAGGAAGAAGGAAGCAAAGTTTGTGCAGCTGCTATGAAAGTATGGTTATTTTCCCTGAAAATGGTAATACTAATGAGAATGAAGTGAAAACACTGGAGCAATTTTTGGTGGAATCTAGTTTTAGCAACAAAAGTCCTTAAGAAACTAAGAAGACTGAGGATTGAATGAGGAGAAAGTATTTTGTTGGGCAGTATAATCTACCAAAAATATCCTCAACAAAAACTTTCTTTAAATCTAAACACAACTCTTCACCTGGACTGAATTTGCCTTACAACACATCTGATACGCAGAGCTACTTTAAAATCATCTGAATATTTACAAGGTGTTGTCTAGTACTTCTATACCAGGGGTGCCCCCCACTTTTTCTGAATGGAGCTACTTTTAAAATGACCAAGTCAAAGTGCTTTACCTACTATGAGGCTCCGTTTACATGAGAACAATCCCTGGAAATGTTACTGTTTTTCAATGTTTATTGAGAGTAATAAACAAAAAATGAACAGGTTCACACGGAAACGCTGTAGTTTCCATGTCAGTTGGGTTGCCAGATAAGAAATTATATATTATAATACTGTCACTTTAAAATGATAGTATTTTGACCTAAAGTGTCATAAGATATTCTAAGATGAGGTGTGTGTAGTGTTTGTTGAACACGTGCACAGAAAAGGAGGGGTAAATAAGACATTTAAAATCAATCTGGCAACCCTGATGCAGGGCTCAGCTGCATTCATTGTGCATGTAGTGTCTGCATGCCAGTTATGTCCAAAATGGTGAACACACTAACGTCTCTTTGTAACTGGATTTGATTAGTTTTGCTCCTACAAGCTGAAAAAAGGTGAGCAGCACAAAAACACTCTGCTCTCTGCCGTTTATTATAACTGTTATTATTTATTATAACTGTTGTTATTTATTATAACTGTTGTTATTTATGATAACTGTTGTTATTTATTATAACTGTTATTTATTATAACTGTTGTTATTTATTATAACTGTTGTTGTTTATAATAACTGTTGTTATTTATGATAACTGTTGTTATCAATGATAACTGTTGTTATTTATGATAACTGTTGTTATTTATTATAACTATTGTTGTTTATTATAACTGTTGTTATTTATGATAACTGTTGTTATTTATTATAACTGTTGTTATTTATTATAACTGTTGTTATTTATGATAACTGTTGTTATTTATGATAACTGTTGATATTTATTATAACTGTTGTTGTTTATTATAACTGTTGTTATTTATGATAACTGTTGCTATTTATTATAACTGTTGTTATTTATGATAACTGTTGTTATTTATTATAACTGTTGTTGTTTATTATAACTGTTGTTGTTTATTATAACTGTTGTTATTTAGGATAACTGTTATTTATTATAACTGTTGTTGTTTATTATAACTGTTGTTATTTATTATAACTGTTGTTATTTATGATAACTGTTGTTATTTATTATAACTATTGTTATTTATGATAATTGTTATTTATTATAACTGTTGTTGTTTATTATAACTGTTGTTATTTATTATAACTTTTGTTATTTATTATAACTGTTGTTAGAGCAGACAAACTTTGGACTGCAGCCACCTGTAGTGCGCATGTGTGACTTCACACTTGGAGCATTTCACACGTCTGTGGGGGGGTTCCCCTGAAAATGACCTGGATTCAGAAACGTTCAGTTTCAGAGAGAACGAGGCTGTTGTCTGTAAATGAATGGCTGAACCGCAGCAGAAAGGCTGAGGTTTCACGTCGTGTAAACGGAGCTTCAGACTGGCTGCCCTGTCTGTCAATCAAGAGACACATTTCATAGTGAGGATGGACGACAGGCTGACATCTGTTTATTTGATGCCATGCGATCTGCCCATAATACCTCTGAGATCGACTGGTAGATCACAGTAGACATATTGGGCACCCCTGATCTATACTGTCTGTGTGTTGATTTTTTTTTAATAGGATTTTATTTTTAAAATATTTGGACTTTTAAAAGCTATCTTAAGCTGAAGTAACTATAGCAAAGGTCAATTCAGGTAAATGTCATCTGTTTACAATAACACATTTATAGTTAAAAAAAACTTTGTGGTTAGTTATTTCTGAAATATTTAGTTTTTAGAAGCACAAATTAATGATCACACCAATGTTGAAAGCATTTTGTAAACATTATAAATAGAAATACGTATGAATCTCTCATCAGGTTTTCTATTTGTCACTGAGATGCTAACACAGCAGAAGATGCCTCAGTGGTTAGCACTGTTGCCTCACAGCAAAAAGGTCCTGGGTTCAACCCCCAGTTGGACCTGGGGTCCTTCTGTGTGGAGTTTGCATGTTCTTCTCGTGCTTGTGTGGATTTTCTCTGGGTGCTCTGGTTTCCTCCCACAGTACAAAAACATGCATGTTAGTCTGCCTTCAGGCCCAGGCCTCCCTTGCAAAAGAGTTCTGTGATCTCAGTGGGATTTGCCTGGTTAAATAAAGGTAATAATAAATAAATAAAACACCTTTGCAGTGAAAAGCCAACCATCAAAAATAGAGCTGAATCTTTTATAGCACCATAAAAACTCGAGTTTAGATAATATTTGAGATTCAAGTCAAGG